CTGAAACCAGTTTTGAGGGGCTCACCTGGGCAAGGGGTCCTCTCTCCCTCTGAGACCTAGCTACCTAGCCCCTCTCAACAGCTCCTCATCTCACTGATTCCTCCTTCCTCCAGTGCCTCTCTTTTCCCTCATCACATCTCTTAGTTATGGTGGTCAGGCTAACTCCTCCAACTCTTCTCTGTCCTGAACTCCCACAGCCCTCTGCCCAAGGCCTTGAAGCATCCCCTGTCCCCTGCTCTTGTTCACCAGCATGACCCTGGGGCTTGTGTTTCATGGCACAATCCCCCACCTCACCCTCCTATGGAGCCCCTGTGGCCCTCCCTGCCAGGCAATTGTACCTCAGAGGCAGATGCTCCTGGTTTACCTGTATCACCCTAGAAAATGCTGTGAATGCACCAAAGATAGGTACCATGGGGGGTTCTGTGGGCATGTGACCTGGGAATGACAAGAAGGCAGAACAGAGGGATAACTCCTCTGACCTCTAAGCTTACCAAGGCTTGGTTTTTCTTGTCAGCTTGCTTGCTATGCCCATGCCCAATGCCCCTAGCGAACCAGCCTCAAGGCCTAGAGCTTTAGGTTTCTGATACTTTCTCCCAACATCTCCCATCACACACCTAGGCTGGGGCCCCCTGAAGCCATCGTCTCCCTATTAAGGAGGCCTGCAAACTGCTTTATTAAATGAAAACAAACATCTGACAAAGAAGAAACGCAAACCCTTAATTGGAGGCTTCTGGGGCTGTTTGCAGAGACAGATGGGAGGGGATCTAATGAAATCACCTCACAAAGTCCTTGGCACACACCTCACAGATAAAGCTGCATTGCCAGGCAACAAGGCTTTTCCACCTGGAGGCCTGATAAAGGACTTGGTGGAGCCGTGTGTTTGGAAAATATGATTTTGCAAGTGGGGCCTGGAACATGTTGACTCTGCTGCCTAACACCAGGCCCCACTAGCAGATAAACAGCTGCTACTTTCCCTAGGGCACTGGCAGAGCTGTTCCCTAGCACCTCTGGGCAGGGCCTGTCAGCATGAAGACACCCTTAGCCACAGAGAGCAATCCATCATACCCAAGATCAGATGTTACCAACAGGACACTTTAGCCACCAGGGTAGGTGGTGGCAATGATGTTCTCTCTTCTGCTCTTTAACTCTGCAGACCTGGGGAAGAGGATGGAAGGATGTCAGGAGCACAGGGGATAGTTAGGTCTGGTGCAGTACCACAGCACTTTGTGCCTCCTGCCACCCCTCTTCTCCCCCTTCACCCCTCTCCCTCGGACTGAAAAGTCAAAGTCCTTCCAGAGGCCTATGACGTTCCTCATTGCCCTGGTCTAACACTGTCTCCTCTCCTGCCCCCCCAACCCTGCCTAGCTCATTCCCTTCTAGCCATGCTGACTTTTTTCCTCTACCCTACATCTGCCAGGCCTCCCTTCTGGAGGCCTTTGCATGGCCTGTCTGTTCTGCCCAGTGTGCCATGTACTATACGTCTCTCTCCCTCAGTTCCTTCCTCAAGTTGCCACCTCCAAGATGCCTCTTCAGATAACCACCTCCTGGCATTCCAGAGCACCTCACCCTGCTCAACCACCTTTTCCTACAGCTACCACCACAGCCTTCTAACTTACTCTGTAATGTGCTTTGTTACTGTGGTTCATTGCTCATTGTCTGTCTCTTCAATTTACAACTAGCACAAGCTCCTGGAAGGCTGGTTCTGGCCTCCTATCTTTACCAGCATATTCCAGGCATCAGTGACGGAGCCAGGTATACAATACAGCAGATGCTTAATAAATGTTTTTTGAATAAGGAAATGCCTCTTTTGCTTGGCTTCCGAACAGTTTTGGTAGAGCTAGTGAAAAAGAGTCCTTGCTTTGAGTGAGCCCCTGCCAGGTCACTGAGTCCTCTAGGAAAGGTGTGGGGACAGACTATCTTGCAACACCACCACCTGCAACCTTTGGAAGGGGAAAGCTTTGTCCATGAAGGAAGGCCCAAGGCTGGGCACCAGGAGGGCTTGACTCTCACCCAAGTCTGATGTAGATGTGCTGTGTGACTCGGGACAAGGGACTATCTATCTACTTGTGTCTCAATTTCCTCTTTCAAGGTATGATATCAGCATTTGCTCTTTGTCTAAAAGCAACAAAAGTCTACACATGCTGTGTTGGGACTCCAGCCTGAGTGCAGAGCCTACCTCCCACGTACCAGCTGTGTGACAGTAAGCAGTTTAGGCAACCTTTCTGGACCTTTTTCTCCTCATCTATACTGGACAGTGGCTTCTGAGCTCTTCCCTCACTGTAACGCTGTCATTTGCCTCCTTATGGGAGAGTATAGGAAAGTGTCTAGCAAGCAACACCATGAGCTGACAGCAGAATGCCCTTACTTTGAGCTGACCCTGGAACCTGTGGGCTCTACTTAGCCCTTACTCTGTCCCTGCAGCTTGGCTGAGTAAGGCCTCCTCATTTCCCCAACCCAGTGGATCTGTCCTCAGCCCATTGTCACTATTTGGGCCTCTATCCTGGTCACTGGGATTGAAATGGTCTCATGTCGACAAGATGCTTCTCAGGAGGGACAGGTATCCTAAGGCACTTCTCTAAACTATCATCAAGGAACAGTCAATCCCCAGAGCTGTGCCTTGTCCCCTGGTCTTAACCCTCCAGGCTAGTCACCCTCCCTACAAAAATAGATTGTTTTTACTGTGTTAAAATACACACATCACAGTTTACCATTTTAACCATTTTTAGGTGAACAGCTCGGTGGCATTCCATACGTTCATGCTGCTATGTCAGCACCACCACCATCTATACCCAGAAAGCCCCAAACGCCATGCCTATGCAACACAAGTGCCCCACTTCCCCCTTGGCTCTGTGATCTGAGTAGCGAGTAAGACTCCACAAAGCATCCATGTGGCTCTTGCTGGACAAGCCTGCTCTTCCCCTCCCCACAACTGCAGGTTACTGCCCAGACTCTGAAGCTGGGGGTGGGTCTTTGGTTTCTAGTACATCTCTCCTTCATCTATCTCCCATTCATTTATTAAATGATTGGAAATGCAGCAGAAAACGTTGGGTGTGGGGTGTGGTGGCACACGCCTTTAATCCCAGCACTCAGGAGGCAGAGGCAGGTGGATCTTTGTAAGATCGAGTCCAGCCTGGTTTATATAGTGAGTTCCAGGCAAACTGGGGCTAGAGAGAGACCATGTCTCATAAACAAAACTAAACAAAACCAAAAATAACAAAAAGAAATGTGGCAGGAAATCATTCCTTCTAGCAGCAAAACCAAAACAGCCAGCACACCCATCTGTGAACTGTGAGATCAGGACCCACCCACTCATGGGCTGAACCTTCAATCCACACATTGAACTTGTGTGACATCTATGAACTGAACACTACCAAAGAGCAGGTGGTGATAATGCCCACAGCATAGGTAGATATTTAAGAAGTGACATTCAGAGGGAAGTGTGTTGGGAGCCTGCATGCATCTACCTCGTGTCCTAGGACCTGAGACATTTATGCTCCCAACATTCAGCTGGAGTCTTGCTAGGAACTAACATCAAACATTGGAGATGCCTCAATGCAGACTGCAGAATAAATGGCTTCAAATCACTGGTGCTTGTCACTGGGTGACACAAGCACAGGAAATTTTCTACACTTCTCAGGTTTGAGATGAAATTCGCCCTACTACTCTTCCTCAAGTGTCCCTGAGTCTGTGTGACCCACATGCTGGTTGTTCCTTAATGAGCCAGACAGCTTCCTCTTTCTGGGCATCTGCCTGTCTGTCCCCTCTCCTGGAGAGAGATACCTTCCTCCGAACATATGTTAACTAGCTCTATTACTACTTTGAATACCACCTCCCCAGCAAGGCTTCCTCAGTTCTACCCTCCTGCCTCTCCCTAGCACACAGTCCCCTTCCCTGTTTTTTATCTGACCCTGCACATTTGCTTCACTTCACCCCCCTAGAGGGGAAATCCACGAGGACTGGGATCCTGTTCTGGTCACTGCTGTATGTATCTTCAGCATCTTGTGCAGTTAAGTGCTGTTCTAAGGTATTCTAAGCCGGTGTAGATGCTTAACCTGTGGTTATTGAATGAATAAACCTGCAGTGCAATTTCTTAGTGAGAGGCAGAGCGGGCAGAGGTGTGGGCAGGAAGCAGGAAACAACAGCAGTAGATGGGGACAGGAAGGAAGGAGGGGCCCTGAAGGATGCTAGTTCGGTGCCAAACTGTCACCTAGAAACAAGCCAATTCACCATGACACTGGGGTCAAGTAGCACACCGTTTCCCCCAGGACAGGAGGGTACACATGGAGATCAATGAGGAAGTAGGCTTGGATGCAAAACTTCCAAGTTCTGAGAACATTCAAGAAGCAAGCTAGGCTGCTGGAGGTAGAGGTGTCCCTGGGGTGTTGCACCAGTGCTGAAAGTAGATGTCACAGGACTTGTGTTGTCTTAATGCTGAAAACTGGCACCCATCACTGCCTTTCTGCCCCTGAGATCTGCGAGCCCAGGACCCACCCACTCGTGGGCTGAACCTTCAATCCACATCACTGACTGCCAGTATAGGGGACCCAGCACTGTGAAAGCAGTGGCCGCTGGCCCTCATTAAATAATAAACACACACAGTGACAGAATGTGAGGCACAAAACTGATTTCTAGAGAGAGAGGCCTTATTCAGGTCCGGGTCTGGGGGCCTCTTTAGGACCATCCAGATATTCCAGGGAGCCCGGAACCAACATTGTGCATGCCTCCAGCCTCGGACATCAAGAGAAAAGGGTAACTCAGCAGCCTGGAACCGTGCACTTGCAGGGTCTTCAGTGAACAGAGGAGGAACGCCAGGTTCAGAGACACACAGCAAATAGGTGGAAGTTCAGCTGTGCCATTTCCTGGGAGCCGCGTACCCTTCCCAGTCACCAGCTATGAGCAGGATAGAGACTGGAGGCAGCCCGAGGTGAAGCAGGAGGTGGGACCGGACTCCTGGGGCAGGGAAAGGGGAGCAGGGGCGGCCCGGTGACGTCATTTCCGGGGTCGGGGTGTATATAAGCGGGGCCCAGCGGCGCTGCTGCTGCTCTTGCAGCTACCAATTCCTCCCGCCTGCGCAGAGATCCTGGTGGACACCCGCAGAGCAGCTGCGTCCCCAGCCCGCCATCCCCCTGCCGCAGCGCGTCCAGCTTTTCGGCGCCCGCCCGGCTCACCATGCACTCCGCCGCGGTCCTGGCGCTTTTGCTGTGCGCCGGGCAAGGTGAGCGGCGCGGGGCGCGGCCGGGGGTCCTCGCTCCTGTCCCGGGTCCCTGCACGCCGCCCCTGCGGCGGCCAAGGTTTCAGCACCACGGACAGCCGCCTCAGCCCACTGTGGCTCCGGCTTCTGCCCGCACCTGGCTGGACATTCGGGGCCTGACCCCTAACCTGGCGGGGCAGGGTCCCCCGCATCTCCCTCCGGTGCCGGGACTCTATTCCTCAGCTGCATGAGCCAACCCCTGCTGCGCCCTAACAGGCCAAGGTCATTAGGGGAGGTGGAGAACTGCCGCTGGCTTCCACCCCCCTATCCATCCTTGCTCTCTGCCGGCTGCCCTTGACTTCTACCTCAGGAGATCGCCTCTTCCCCAACCCCAGCTCTTTCCCGCCACCCCTGGAATCTCTCTCCTTGCCTGCCTCTGTCCCCACCCCAGTCCTGTGCTGGCCTTCTTTGCATTGCACTTGATTTCAGCTCTGCACACCCGCTCCTCCTGCAGGGAAGGGTTGAGGTCCCTGAGTGCAGCCTCTGGTGACCACCCCCCTGGGGAAGCATGGGGAGGGGAAGCAGCATCAGCACTGGGCACACATTTGGGTGGGAATCATTTTGAAGGGGAGCACTGGGGGTGAGCGGGTCCTAGGAACCCCACCAGGAAGGACTGGGCTTCTTTGGAATAACCCCAGTCTGTCTATCTGTCTGTCTGTCTGTCTGTCTGTCTGTCTGTCTCTCCAGTCTCTGCCCTCCCTGTGAACAGCCCCATGACAAAAGGGGACACCAAGGTAAGATGGGGTGTTGGGGTGCCCTGGGAGGGGGGATGCCCTATGGAAACCTCATGGCCAGTTCTTGGGCAGCTGCAGGAGTCAGTCTGGCATAAAGCCAAAAGCCAGCACTGCAGCAGCTGAGCCTGGGAACAGCTTGCACAAGAAGACATCCAAGATCCCTTGCTTCCCCTGCTGTCCAGCTGGGGGGACTGCCCAAGGGGCCCGTGTCTTGCCTGCTGGGTCTTAGGGCCAGGCTGACTGTTCTCAGAACTCTTGGTGCAGTAGGGCCACCATGGTCCAGAGGCATGTTTTCTCCTGTCCCAGGCATCCACAGACCTCCTTGATGCTGGTCTTTCCTTTTCTGCACCCCCACACCATAGGCCCTGGGCTCTGGCTGTCCCAAAGGGCCACAATAACAGTCTTGCCCATGGTTCCTTCACTCAGGTTTCTCCCCAGTTAGAACTGATGGAGGTCACCCAAGAAAGGGCCTTAGGGAACATCAGTGATCGTTCTGTCATTAATTAGAAAGCCAAACAAGACATGATCATATATGAACCAGGATTGTCCTTCCAGGAAGATTCTGGACCTTACACATATCTCCACTGAACATCAGAACAATTCTGTTCCCTGTGTTCCAAAGGCTATTTTTTCCAAAGGCATCAAAGAGAGTTCAAGCTGTTAGTCAGTTGTATTCCCTGTGTATCACTTGTTTTAACTGTACCACTCATTCTAGCTGACAACCTTGGAAAAATTCTTCATCCTTTCTATGCATCCTCTTTCCTGTCTTTCCATGGAGGAGAGATGTGAGGAGTAGGATTCATGGGTGAAGGGCCAGACATATAGTAGGGCCTCAGTTAATGGGCACTGATTTTCCTGGAGTCTTTCCCAGAGTCTCCCCAGCATTTTGAGACCCCTACTGAATTCCTGTCTCCCAGAGTCTGCCCTCAGAATCTGATGGTTGTCTGACATTCCCTGTGCAAAGTCTGGTGTTGGGGAGATGCAGGGTACAGGCTTCTGGGGGCTACTTTCCAGTTCCACTCCCACAACCATAGAATGCCAGCAGGGGTGAGAGGCACCAGCAGCTAGGTAAGACCTGAATGTTCCCTCTGAAGTTATAACTACACACCTGAGAGCCTTTGCCAGCTTGCCATCCTGGGAAAATGTATGATTGTCTTGGTTTCCCATAGACACAGCCTCCCACCCCCTCATTCCTTGCCAGTGTTGCCTGGCACATGTCTGCCACCTCCCGCTCTTCCACCCAGCTGCAGGCTATTGAAGCAGGTCTGAAGTTGTGAGTACCCCCCCCAGGTATGTGACACTTCCCACTTCACAGTGTTTTCCTGTCTGTACCTCCACACTTTAGGAGGGCTATTGCGAAAGCAGTCTCACTCCCATATGAGTGGCTAAGGTCCAGAGAGGCTAAGTCGCTTGCTCACACAGCTAGCATACCATGTGACAGTGAGCACCATCTTCAAAGATCATCCTTCAGGTACCTAGTTGTCTGTTGTGCCTCACTGGACTGGATTAGACACTCAGAGCTATGTTTTGTTGGTCTAGAATGAGCAGTCAGATGTAGTTAGTAGGTGCTCACATCCAGCCAGGGGACTCTTCCCATGGGACAATGCAGAGCTACACTGGGGGACTGTCACTGCTTATGTGTGGCTGCACAATGGGAGATGGCCCTGTTTCCAGACAAGGTTGAACCCACATAGGTCTGTGTTCTCCTCTGGGCAGCCTTGAGGCTGTATTAGAGGAGCTGACCCTTTATTCAGCGGACCCTAGCCTTTTGCAAGACATCCTCTCAGTTCCCAATGGAAGCTCCATCCTTAGAGAACCACTCTAAGGGCAAGAAGATTCCAGGCATCTACCTCTACCCATCTCTCAGTGGTGGTCCTCATAAGGGATATGAGAGAGTGTGTCTGTCTCCATGGCTACTGTCTGGCTAAGAAAGCAGAGCTGGGCCCTATGGCCTCTTAAAGGCGACATAAATGTCCTTATGTCCTGAGAAAGTTGCCCTGGCACCTTGGGAGCTGAGCTCCACACTTATAGCAGTCTAGCCCATCCTGCTGTCTTCCAGGTGATGAAGTGTGTGGTGGAGGTCATTTCTGACTCATTGTCCAAGCCCAGCCCCATGCCCGTCAGCCTGGAGTGTCTGGAGACCCTCCAAGGAGGTAGGAACTGGAGGCTGGGGGGAGAGGCTGTGGGATCAGGAGATGAATGGGTGGCTCTTGGTAGGATTAACCATCTCATCCGGCAGTCATTGCTCTAGTGCCCTAGACCATGCTGAGGTCTTGGGAACACAGGTGATGAAATGTTCACAGTTCCTGTGCCCCTAGGGCTTGTAGACTCACAGAGGGACATGACAGTTAACTACAGTTCTGGGCAGAATGAAGCAGGGCTGGAGAAGCAAGCCACAGAATGGATGCCCTGTGGACTAGGGTTTTGTGTGCTGTATTCCCAATGCCAGGAACCCCTTTAGGACCCAGTAGCACACTGTGGTCTGTAATGAATAAGGGGATGGTGAGTGGGTCACATCTTTCCAAGCTGACAATCTAGTTTGGCCAACACATAGCAGCACTGGTGATGGACGGGTAGAAAATGAAGGAAGAATGACAGGAGGTGCAGACAGTATGGGCAAAGGTGTGGAGGTGGGCAGTGTTTCCAGACCTGCACTTGAGCCTGAGAGGCCTGCTGCTCCTTGCTGAAGCCTGGGCATGGGGTCAGTGGCTGACTTTTCCAGTGCAATAGGAAAATGATTGACGTCTTGGAATGAGGAATTTCCAAAGTGTTACGTGCAGACTGAGGTTTACTGCTGCCCCCTTGGTGCCGAATTTCCAGAATAAATGCCTGGACTCAGCTGGAAATATCAACAATAATGTCTCTTGAGGCTGTCCCCTGGAAATCTCCCATAACTGTGCTCCCTCCCTGCAGATGAGCGGATCCTTTCCATCCTGCGACACCAGAATTTGCTGAAGGAGCTTCAGGACCTTGCTCTCCAAGGTATTCCAATACTGCACACAATTCTGGAAGAATGGCAGTAAGAGAATGTGAGAGAGCCTGTGTATGTGTGTGTGTGTGTGTGTGTGTGTGTGTGTGTGTGTGTGTGTGTGTGGTGGGGCGGGGGAGGGGGTGCTGAAGGAGGGCCTCTCAGATGCTCAGTTCCAGAGCAGAAAGATGGGGTTTCTCCATGTCACCTGGTTCTGTTGTTGATACTGCTTAAGAGATCAAAACTCAGAGAGGCTGAGTGACTTCCTCAAGGTCACATGATGAGCAGACTGTACCAAGAGCAGTTGTAGTTTGCTGACATCCCATGGCCTCTGGAGGGCAGCCATCCAGGGAAGCCAAGAGAACTCCTCTCTCAGTAAACCCATTAGTGAACCAGTCACAGGAAGAGAGGGACCCTTTCCTGTGACTGTGGGTAATGGGGGAAGCAGGGTTTTGCTGCCCCCAAACACAGGTTTAGACTTACAGTGATCCTCACACTAAGGGGTGACTTTTTTCCAAGAGATTAACAAAATCCATGGACATTCTTTGGATAGGAGTGAGTGTGAGGTCATGAGCTCACAGCATTGAGGGTATCTAAGCAAACAAGACAGAGTGCCAGGGCGGAGAGTTAGGGTCCTGTCACACCACCGACAGCCCCCTGTTCCTTCCTGGATTGAGGGAAACACCCTGGAGACCTGGGACATCTCTAAGGGCTCCATCCTTGCTTCTGCCTCTGGCCACCTCCCGAGGAGAATGGCCATACTTGTGGGGCAGGACCACAGCACCTTGTGTATGAATCTGGCACCTTCCTCCAACCAAAACCCAAACCACCTTTAGGCCATGTCTTGGCTATGGTAGGGGCATGAAGGCCACTCTGGCTTCAGGAAGGCTCTCACCCTGAGATCTTTGGGGCAGAGCAGGCTGTGTGGGAAAATGAACAGAGTTTTGAGGAAGAAGCAAGCAGAAATAACCCTAGTGGCCCCTTTCCTAAGATAACTCACTTTCACTCACTGGTCTGCTTGGGTGACAAACACCTATTTTTCATGGTCTTACTTATTTGAGACAGTCTCACACAGCCCAGGCTGGCTTGAAATTTGTTTTCTGACCTTAAACTTCTGATCCTCCTGCCCCCATATTTAGAGTTCTGGGATTGCCAGAGGCTTGGGTACCACACTCTGCTTTATGTGGTACTGGAAATGGAGCCCAGGACTTTGTGCATATTAGGCAAGCACTTCACCAACTGAGTGACATTGCCAGCCTCAGAATGCATGCCTGCATGCAGGAGATGCTGGGTTAGCCATCATCACCATCCCTCCAATCCCCCTTGGGTTTCCTCTCAGCACCCTCGCACAGGGACCTCTGTCTTAGCGCTTTCCATGAGTCTGCTTATAGATGAATGCCTGGACCGGACCTTGGGGAACCCACATTGCCCAAGATTACAGAGCTGGGACATGGCCAGGAGAGGCCTAGAGCCCACATCTGTCTGTAGCTGGAGTGGGCATATTCCCTAATGCACATCAACCCCCACTAGCTAAAGAGCTGACCTGGCTACCAGGCCAGGATGTGGTCCTGAAGCAGGCATAAGTGGGGGATACTCAGGAGGGGGCAACAACAGGGGCGATGCAAGCTAAGGAGCTCTGGGACATGCAGGCTTGGAGCCAGACTTGGGGTCCCAGAGCAGTAGGGTTTTCCTGAATCAAGAGCATTCTTGAGAGGACCAGCAGCTGCCATGGTCTACTGCTGCAGGGTCTCCAAGCTGCAGCTGGGTCCTGAGGGCTCTTCACTGCGCCTGCTGCCCTGGGAACCCTCTGCTTCATTTGGTCCCTTATTTCTCTGTGAGGCACAAGAAGGACTTTCTCTCCTTTCCCAGGGGAGAAACTGATACAGAGAGGTGGTGTGGCCATCTGTTGGGCCCCAGCAGACAGCCTGTGCCCTCAGCATTTCACTAGGCAGGTCTGAAACATGTACTGTTCACAATGGCCAGGTGGGGCCTTCAGTGCCAAGGACAGATATGCCAGGGTTTGGCCCCCTGAGACCTTCCCTCTTCCCCTCCCACCAGGTGCCAAGGAGCGGGCCCAGCAGCAGCCAAAGCAGCAGCAGCCGAAGCAGCAACAACATAGCAGCTTTGAGGAAGAGCTCTCAGAGGTGCTTCTGAACCAGAGCCCAGAGGCCAAGCCAGGAGGTCAGTGTAGCCAGCTAGAAGGGGATGGGGCCACAGGAGAACAGTGCTCCCCAGGGGTCACAGCTTCCTCAGGGTGGCAGACCTCCCATAAGCTCTGGAAAATGGCTACCATTTTTTTTTACATGTGGGAAACTGAGGCCTAGGAGACTCAGCCCCTTGCCCAGGGTGAGCCGTATAATGGGATTTGAATCTGGTTGTGTCTTATCCAAAGCCCTCAACTCACCCCCACACCAGCCTGCTGTTCTACAGGCAACAGCAACTCTGGGACCACCCCATGACCCCTGCCACATAACCCCTGTCCCCAGCACCTGCCCTCCTGAGACTTGGTGGCACATTAGAATAACTGTTGAAGCAGTTCAACAGGCTCAAAACAACCAGGTGATCCTGGGTCATTGTTCTTTTTCTTTTTTCTTCTTTTTGGTTTTTGAGACAGGGTCTCCCTGTAGCTCCCGCTGGCCTGGTATTCACAATGTAGACCAGGTTGGCTTCAATCTCATAGAGATTTGCCTGCCTCTGCCTCCCAGGTGCTGGGATTAAAGGCATGTACCACCACATCTGGCTGGGTCAAAGAGCATTCAGTGTTGAAAGAGGTCATCCTTGAGCAATGTTACCCAGCTTCCCACCCAGGAACAGCCACAAACTGCACCCACAACACTGCGCTCTTTATGTGAGAGGTGGACAGAAAGGCCAGTTCCCAGGGGTTGGCCTGTGGTCATCCTCTGGGCTAAGTGGGGATGCACACAGGTGTGCCAGGAACCCACACGTTGGTCATATTGTCACCATACTGACTTCTTGTGCTTCATAGATTCCCACATACAGCTCCCATACGGAATGAGAACAGGTGTCTGGATCACTGTGGTGCCTGCTGTGGGCTGTGGAAGGGGAGAGTATAGCCTCTCTCTCTCTCGCGCGCGCGCTCTCTCTCTCCTCTCTCTCTGCCTGTGTGTGTACATGTACATGCATCTGGAGGCCTTAATGTAGAGATCCTGAACTTGGCATTTGGAGACATAGGAGCAAGGTGAACTTTCTGAGCCAGCCTGAGTCATGACAGGCACCCTGCCTTTCTGAGCATCAGTTTGAGTTTCTGTGGACAAAGTACAGGATCACCTGTTGCCTGGAGCCCCGATGACACTCAGACACTAGTTTGTGCCTGGGAGTGCTTCGTTTAGCAGCGGTCATTCCACAAATGAGAGAATTTGTACTGATAAAAGGCTTTCTTCAAGAAAAGCTTTTTTATATTTTATTTTTATTATTTTTATTTTATGTGTTATGAATGTATTGCCTACTTGTGTGTAAGTGTACCTGTATCGGGCAGTGCCTGAGGAGATCCGAAGAAGGCATCAGATTCCCCTGGACCTGAAGTTACAGAAGGTTGTTAGCTGCCATGTGGGTGCTGGGAACTGAACAGCCAGTGCTCTTACCCGCTGAGCCATCGCTCCAGCCCCAAGAAAATACTTTTTAATGAACACTGGAGGTAGGGATGTGCCTCAAACATAGAAAGGTTAAGCAATTTCCCCCAAACTGCACAGTGGTCCAGTGCTATCTTAATTTTAGTTCAGGGCTGTATTTTCTGGGGTCATTTTCAAGTCTGTTCATTTCCACTTGTGCTTTTTAAATTATATCCTGTTTTGAGAAGTAGAATTAAAGAACCCCAGTCCTGCTGTGCTGACTCAGATGAAGCCCACATATGGACTAGAGACCTCAGTCCTTCTCTTGGGCTGGGCTGCCTGGGAGCCAAGACATCTGAGGACAAAGACTTGAACTTGGTCTTGGGAGTCCCTGAAGGCAGCCTGATCCTCAGCTTGACTCTGTCCTGTTGTTCCCTCAGAGGCAGCAGCAGAGGCACCCTCCAAGGATGCTGTGGAGAAGAGAGAGGACTCTGAAGAGTCACAGCAGGAAGACTCTAAGGAAACCACTGAGGGACCCCAGGCCTTTCCAGAGCCTGGACAGGGGTCCTCCATGATGGGAGATAGCCATGCCCCTGGGGAGGACGAAGCCACTGACACTCAGCCACCAGCCATCTTCCCCAATCAGGAGCACCAGGACCCACAGGCCACGGGGGACAGTGAGGAGGATCTGAATACCCAGCAGCAGGCCAGGAAAGCTGAGCAGGAGAAAGAAAAGGAAGAGGAAGATGAGGAGACTGGGGCAAAGGCAGGGCCTGAAGAAGTCCCCACTGTGGCATCCAGCTCTCGCCCCCACCTCGGCAACAAGGAGATTGAGAAAGATGAACGTATGTATGGTGACAGGGACCTCAACTGATTTGTCTGGGAGAGGGACAGGAGGATGCCTCATCCTTCCTCCATAACAATCCTGAACAGTGGTATCATTCCCACTGTCCAGGAGGGCATTTGAAGCTCAGAGAGGTTATATATGTGCCTAAGGTCACACAGCTAATTGGTAGTAAAAGGTGTGATTATCTGACTCCTAAGCCATACATCACCCATAGTTCTACATAGCACCCCTCTCCCAACCTGGGAGGCAAGAAGGATTTGTGGAGAGGCACTTGGGAGAATGGAGAAGACAGCATGACAGGTAGGAGCTGGTCATGACAGGTGGATAGGGTTAGCTTCAGTGAGGGTTCAGGAGACCTGGATCCTCACAAAGGATGTGGGTCACCCAAACTGGGTCAGTGCTTCTGGGTCAGAGGACTAGAGGGTAAAAAGCCACTGCTTTGGGTTTTGGGAGAGTCTTGCAAAGCATGGTATTAAGAAGATGGCTCTGCTCTGAGTGGGCTGTTATGGAGAGGCTGGCCTAGCCCTAGAGGTCTGTGCAGAGGTCCCTGGGAGTAGCAGGGGCCAGGGCAGGGGAAATGGCAGCCCTTCGTCACTTCCTGCTTTGCTCACCACGGGCTCCAGGTCGGTCAGAGTCTCGGGCTATGGATGGAGTTGGAAAGACTTCGGCTGCCAAAGCTCGGCCCCCTCAGGAGAAAGGAGAGCAGGAACACTCTTGGCAGAAGGAAGAGGAGGCAATGGCAGGGGTCCCCCGGGGTCTCTTCACAAAAGGGAAGGGCCAGGAGCTGGAGCAGCAGCAGCAGGAGGAGCGACTGTCCAAGGATTGGGAGGACATCAAGAGATGGAGCAGGATGGACCAGCTTGCCAAGGAGCTGACGGCAGAGAAGCGGCTGAAAGGGGAGGATGACCCTGACCATTCCATGAAGCTCTCCTTCCGGGCCCAGGCCTACGGCTTCAGGGACCCAGGGCCGCAGCTGCGTCGGGGCTGGAGACCATCCTCTCGGGAGGACAGCGTGGAGGCCGACCTGCCCATGCAGGTTCGTGGTGACCCCGAGGAGAAGAAGGAGGAGGAGGGCAGCGCCAACCGCAGAGCAGAGGTTGGTATAGACAAGGGCAGCTGTACCCAGCAGCTCCTGCCCCACTGAGGGACATGGTTTCCTTAGCCAGGGCCTAGAGAAGTGCTCACGTGGGTTCTCAAGGTAGGCAGAGCACTGGGTCACAGCAGGCACTCAGCAAGGCTGCTGGACCAGGTGGACACTAGGAGCAGCTGGGGTGGGAGGCCTCAGACCTGCTTGAGGAACAGTAGGGACTTTGCCTCTCAGGTATGTGAGTAGGACATGATGTGCTGGGGGCCAGGTGGGGTACTTTGGATGGACAGCCTGGCAGGACTGACCTCTTAGGACACCTGGGGCCTCTCGGGGTAAAGGGAAGGGGATGCTAAGGGACCAGTGATGACCTAAGAAGACAGTACAGTTGGTGGTCATGTTGTCCCTCAGGTAGCCTAACTGCATCTCCTCCTGGGTTCAGACTCACATCCAGCCAATGATGGCAAAGCAGGGGGTGGGGCCAGCTGAACCCAGGTAAGCAGATGGGCAAGGTGTCATGCTAACAGACTGGGGTTCCACCTGGTTTCTTCTGCTGTGTGACCTTGGGTAGGTCATTGCTCCTGTCTGAGCTTCATTGGTTCCTCCCATCCCTGAAATGGGAGTAAAGGGTCTTTCCAATTCACCTCATCATGATCAGAACACAAATAACCTTCAAAGCCCTGGCCCATCCAAGGCCACTTGGGCAGTTGCAAGAGCGTACAGGGACACAGAGATATGGCCCCATAGTAGGTGAGAACTATGCTTCCTGGCAGGCAGGACACCACCTGAGCTGGAGGAGGGCCTAGTAGCACCTGGCTAAGCCAGTGCTCAGGAGGGAATTGGGGTTCTCTGGGGGGACCTGGTCTATCTCTAGTCCTGACCCTAAGGCTCTTCTCTGCTCACCAGAAGAGGTGGCATCTTTTTTGAGCCCTGTCCCTCCCTCTGGACCTGGAGCCAGGTCCTGTTGGCTTCTCTTAGCAGTGGGTTCTGGGAGAGGGCATTTCTCCTTGAGGTTGGGGGATAGATGATAGGAACAGTTCTGTGCTCCCTACCCCTAGCTATGGCCCCAGAATAAGCCTCAATAATCCCCTTGCCACCCCCAGCACCTGCCAGCTTCTTTCTCATGGGCAGAGGGAGCCTGCAGCGTCAGGTAGAGAAGAGGGAGCCCTAGGTGTTATGGACAGGGTGGAGTGGGGGGTTTTCTTAGAAACTTCAGCATCATAGAACTAAGCCCCAGGGGCTGCTCCAAGATTGAGGGGTCTAGGATCCCTGTTTCCAAGGCAACCATTGTCAGTATCCTGTGGACTAGGCAGTAAGTGTGGCTACGGGGCTGGGGCACCCTCAACAGCCTCACTGCAACAGAAACTCCAGGAACAGGACACCTTGGGGTGTTCTTGTGAGCATCCCAGCTACCAACAGCCTGGAAACTTCCAGCAAAACTTCCAGGCTCAGAGCAGTCTCCTACTTCCCTGACCACCTTGACCAGTGCATGGGATCCTCTATTGTCAGGACCAAGGGTCAGGGTCCAGCCCTGGGTACATGGGAAGCAGCTCTCAGAATTAGCCCCCACAGGTACAGAGGCTACAGGAGACAGATGAACCTGAGCTGGACACACACGCTCTGGGAACCTGCACTGGAGTTCAGGCTGAGAAAGGACCTTAAAGGAACTGTGTACCTTGAAGGAACAGGTTCCCACTGGTCCAGAGCCCCATAGGAGGAAGTGGGGCTGAATAAGAGTCCACTAGGGGCAGTTTGGGGACTTTGTCAGCTGGGTAACATCTCTGTCCCTGTGATATGGATGAAGCCCCTAAGGCAGAGAGAAGCAAAGCCACTTGTCTAACACACACAACTAACCAATAGCAAAGCCAGTCTGGCAGACTGTGCCCTCAACACTGCTGGCACAGGCCAGGCCCAAGTAACCCAGTCTGTTCCCTCCTAGGACCAGGAGCTGGAGAGCCTGTCAGCCATCGAGGCAGAGCTGGAGAACGTGGCTCACCAGCTGCAGGCATTGCGGCGGGGCTGAGGCACTGGCTGGTGGGGCCCGGTCAGGGCTTCCAGGCAGGCCCCCTGTGGTCCTGGCCCCATGGCCTGAATGCTGCTCCAATAGAGTCAGCCTCCAACCACGGGAGCCCAGGTTGCCCTAATGCCCCTCACTCCCTCTTCTCTCAGCCTCTGCCCTGGACACTTCTGAAGGGGGAGCCCTGACTGTCAGTCAACACAGATTCCTTCTCTGAACACAGGCAGCTTTCTAGAAGTTTCCCTTCTACCCTCTCATCTATGGGGCACAACTGCGATAGCTTCTGGCCTTTGGGTAAAAGCTGAGAACTCCTGACTGTAATATATTCCAGATGAAATTTAAGGAAGAATAAACCTGCTCTGGGCTCTTTCCATTTTTGTTTGATTCTTTCTTTCTCTCTCCACTGAGTTGGGTGGGAGGATTTGGGCCGAGGGACAAGGTAGAGTCAGTCCACTCGGGGGCAGGCGTGACTTTGTATCTCTGAACTTCCCTGAATGGGGTGTGGGATGAATACCATACACATGGGCTTTCACACACACAGGTTTTCACCGCCCTCCTCTTCTCCTACCTCCCAGTCACACCTGAGCTGGGCCATGTAGAGGTGAGGCTGGGCTGGGCACAGCTTCTGCTATGTCCCAATAGATGGTCCCCTAGTCATCTTGGCTCTGGGTAGAGGTTGGAAGCCCCAGGATAATACCTTCTGTGGGCCATAGGCATCAGGCCAGTGCCAGACTTTCTGACAGGTTTCTGCCCTGCCTGGCACAAATCCATACTGTTCCCCAAGATCACAGGCCTGTGGAATGTCTGAGCTCTTGGGCAGTGACAATTTATTAGAAAACAACAGGTCTTAGGCCCAGTTTTAGAAAAGATGAAATGGCATCAAAGGCACAGGCAGGGCTGACATTCAAACATTTAAGCAAGAGGGTTTTGTAGGATTATGCAATCAGGACAGGACAGACTGTAGCACTGGGCCCACGGGTGCTGACTACTATCAGGGCCAATCAGTCAGCCATGCATCAAACATTTGTGTGTGGCTTAGAAGGCCTGTGCATGTAGAAACAACCAGTATGAACCCTGGCTTTGGAAGCCCACTGCCCCACAGGGGACAGTTGAACCCTTCAACAGCTCAAGCAGCCTGCCAGGACAGATTCGCACTCAGAGGAGGCTGGGTTTATGTGTGGCATTTCTGAACTAACTGGCTTCGGATGGTCTCTTCACATCTCCATGTCTTTGGCCTGTGCACCTCAACTGAAAACAAGCTGGTGAGGGAATTGCAGGAGGTGCTGATGAGCATGTAAGGGCTGATCTCAGTCTTGGCAGGGGCTCTCTTGCTAGGGGAAGCAAAGGCATGGACAGCACAGGTGAGAGGCCCAGGTCACTGCTAACAGGTGATTCAAGAGCCAGGTCCCAAGGGTCCAGGCCCCACCTCATGACTGGCTTAGAGGGAGTCCCTAGACCATCCATGCGCTAACTGGAGGGCTCTGCTGGCTTTCTTGGCCCTTGAGAGAGCCTCACTTTCTCCATATGTAAAATAGGGATAATACTTGTCTTTACTGGATTGCGGCAATGACTGGCAGTGTGTGACAGCACAGACCAAAAAAATCCTGATTATGGTGGTATGAATTGTCTGGGGTAAGGGGGATGTCTCAGAAGCCTAGATCTTTCTGATGAGGCTGGGCTTTCCACCGCCGCTGCCGCCTATACCTGAGGCAGCCAAGAACTTGCTAAGATGTGTTTGCCCTACAGGTTTATACTCCTCCTGACAGTTATGCAATAACACACACTTTACTAAGCCACCAGAAACTAAAAATATCCATCACCAAGACCAGGTAATAAACAAAACACAGGCATACCTTGTCCCCAAAAGACCCCATCCCAAAGACAAGCCACCTGCACTATCATGTCACAAGGAGCAAAGATGCAGCCCAGGCAGGAGCTGATGGATAAGAGTATGGCTTTGTAGACAGCACAGGGTCAAGTACATTCCTTGTACCAACACACACAAGTTAAGTAAGTGCCAAGCAGCCTGGGACTCTGAAAGAGCTGCTCATGAACAGTGTAAGGGGAGGCCATGGAGCCAGGACCCGGCCAGCCTCAATGCCTGCAGTGCAGCTGGTAAGCCCTTCTCTGACAGCAATCAGGGAGCTCAGGCATGGACACTATGTATCCCTCCTGGGATACTATGTATCACTTTCTGTATGAGTCCTGGCTGAGCTGCCTCTAAGGGAGCCTCAGGGAAGTGTCACCCCATATGCCCTGCAAGGGGCCCCTCCAAGCTGCCATGTCCCAAAGGACCTGGGAATCAAGAGAAAATGTAACCATATCTGAAAAGGACCCTCAGGTCTGGGAGGTTCTTCTGGTCACCACCAGAAGAAAAAGACCCATTAGCAGGGATCATGTTGCCGACAGTCCTGTTGGGGAACAGTCATTTCCAGAGTAATGGCTGTGCAGAGGGAAAGGGTCAAGGCACATGCCCTTACCACCAGGGAGGACCCATCATCTAAGCTGTGTGGCAGCAGCAGGCATGTCAGACCCATCCCAAACCAAGGCTCTAGACCCATGGAGGACCACTGTACCTGTTTACCTGTCTACCTGTTTAGGCCAGCTCAAGGGCTCTGGAACCACGACTGGTTTGTAGAGGACAAAAGAGGGATACACGGGAAGACAGCAAGCCCCAACGATCCTCCTGTATTCACCCTCGGCCCCCCCGAGCTAGGATTGCACAAGTATGCTGGGTGCCTGGCTAGTTACGTGGGTGCTGGGCTCCGAACTCTGGTCATAACTGCATAGCAAGTACTCTTAACCACTGAGCTATCTCTCAAGCCCCCTACTGGGGTCTTTTGACCTGTTGCCCACTCAGGCTGGTTTTCTCTCATCGATGAGACTAAAGACAGGCAGGCACATGCGTGGAGTGCCCTATCATATAATCCGAGGCTTCAGTGGGTCTGACTCCACAGGTAGGCTTACTCACAGTGTGGGGCAAATCCAGACACTTCTGTGACACCAACAATGACCTGGCCCCAGGACAGACTCCACTCATCTCCCTTGGTGAAGACACACCAGCGGCTAGTGCTCTGCAGTGTCACATTTGTGAAGTCACACTGCTCTCTCACCAAGTATCTGCAAGACCTCAACCCCAGGCCTCTGATCCCATGCAGGTGGCCTTCAAAAACTGCCAAAGGTCTCACCGAAATGTGGCCTTGCCTCTTGCTCCTGAACCCCTCAGCAACCCTGCCCATGAACACCAGCAGGCTGGAAGCTGCAGGGCCCCAAGGGTCATAGGTCAACCAACTTGGAAACAAGCTAGGCCTGAGCCTTGACTTCTCTGAGCTGGCAGGGCCTTTCCAAGGTGACAGTCAGACTCCATGGGGTGAGGGCAGCAGAGCTAAGCACACCCTAAGGAGAGGAGGCAGCCACAGCACTCTTTCCTTAGTGGCTCCATTCCCTGACAGGTCTAGCCAGAGCCAGAGACCTCAGGTCAATCAACCGTTATGGCCTGTGTACTGCGATTAACGGAAGTCAGGCAACGTTTAGAGGCAGGGTTTCTCTTACCCTGACTACTGAGTGGCCAGCGCCTCATTATTGTTTGCTGGGCAGTGTCCATCTGCCTAGACAGACAGCTCCTCTCCTCCATCTCCCAGGCCCTTATGAGGCAACCCTGTTTCCACTTAGCTGGAAAGTGTAACTGTCCCCCTCGATACCCGCATGGAGGCCTGTGGAAAAGGCAGTTACTTGATACCCAGGTCTGGTTGTCACCATGCATGACTCTGGAAAGTAAGCTCTAGAGAATGTGATGCAGCTGGAGGACACCACCCACTCTGCCTGTGCGCAGAGCAGACAGATGCTAGGATTCAGTTTGATTTCAGTAGTTTATTCTGGAGACAAAGCAGTGCAAGAGCCGGCCACGCCTCCTGCCCCCTGGGCTCAGGGTCAGGCCTGGGAACTTGACATACAGACATCAGGTTCAACAATCAGGTACTGTAAACGGTAGTTCTGGGGCTCTGTTTCCAAGGAAGCCAGCCAGTCTCTCCTTACCCAAAGGTCAATCCCACAGAGCCCCTCATCCCCCAGGGCTGCTGGGTGTTCCCTCTAGTGTCCTCCATCTTATTGAACCTAAGGACAACCCAAAGGCCTAGTTCTCTTTGCAAAGTGAGCTGATATCTTAAGACACAAGACTGCTCTCTGGAGTCCTGAGATGCTCAACCCGAGCTCCACATCCTTGGGGTGGAGGATTGTCCTCAGGTGTCTCTTTCCTGCAGCTTTGGGGCCAGCAGGTGGTCTGCCAGTTGTGTGGTAGCACAACTCCCCTGGGGGCTTGCCTAGCACTAGGTACAAGGGACTTGTGATGAATACCACAGAGCTGTGCTGGGCTTTCCTGCATCAGGGGATGTGTGAACAAGAATGACCATATGGGCGGCTTCCACCCCCACCTGAGGAGGAACCCAGATGGCCACAATGTCCAGTGGAGGTTCCCACACTGTCCTCATCCAGGTAATGCCACAGAGAAGCAGGCATCTTTGCAGGTTGGAGCACTAGGTTAGCCCTTTGGTTCTCTGGCCTCAGCAGCCACCCAGGAGATGAGGAGAGACTCATGGAATGATTTGCTCTAAGTCTCAGCAAAAATCCTGGGCACTGGCAGAATCTCAGCCCAGGACTTCCAGCCAGGCGGCCTCCCTCCTAGGTCCCAGCAAACAACAGTGCTACCAGGGGACAGGGCAGAGGACAGAGTGGTCTGATGGACTCCACAGAGGCAGTGAAGACCAGCAGCCCAGTGCTTTGGCTACACCTGCAGAAAGCCTTCTTTTCCTTCCTACAACCCACACTCCTGGTGCAAAGCTCTCCAAGGGGACTACTGCTTCCCTGGCTTCAGGGAGGAACGGTGGGCTGCACAGAGGTGAGAGTTAGCCTTGGAGGAGACTGCATCTGGGAAAAGGAGGGAGGGTGAGGTCCAAAGTGGGCAGGTGTGGAGAAGGGAGGAAGCAGGGAACCGTTCGTTCTCTTGTCTGGCTAGCCCCACCAGCCTGGTCACCGAGGGCCTCTGTCCAGGGTCCCCAGAAGCCTCCTGGTCCACAGCAGCCACACAGACAGACAGACATGGACGTGCAAACACACTTGCACGGCAACCACACAACACACATGCACACACCCCACCTCACATTCAGACCTAGTGTTGAGAACACAAGCGTGTGTAAACTGAGTGAGGAGATCTGTACAGGAATTAGGCGGGATCCTCGAGGCTGGACCACTTGGTGTTCTGCTCCGTCTCCCCCCTCATTCTGATCACGACATCAGAAAATCAGGTTAAAAATTAAAACAAAGAAGCATCAGACCATCGGGAATTCTTAGTAGTGTCCCCATTTGGAGCTGTGGGCCCTCAGGTGTGCTCCGTCCCTCTGGGTCCCTGGCTCTGTGGCTACTGTGAGGAGGCCTTGGTGGCCAGGGAGGCCACGCAGTGCTGCTGGAAGCTGGGTGACACACCCGTGGTACAGCCAAGTCTCTGGTGTGGCAGCTTGGCAGAGCCGCTGGTGCCCACGGTGCTCACATTGCCTGCATCGGCCTCGGCCTTCCAGGGTGCATCCTGGCCCCTCAAGCTGCTACAGCAGCTGGGGTTGGCGCCGCACGTCCGCTCGCCAGCCAGGCCACCCGCCTGTTCCACCAGGAGCCTGCTGTGCCTCAACGGGGCTACGTCCCCCGTGGCAGCTGCATCTGTGCTCTGGCCTTGCAGGACTGTGGCAATGTGGTTCAGGAGATCAGTGAAGAATTCACTCACACCCTCGTAACCTGGAGATGGAGAGACAGGAGGTACTGGGCATTAGCCAGGGGATACAGGAGAGGAGGACGCAGCAGAAATCGTGGGCTTGTAGGGCTTGGGGAGGTACTTTCAGTATCCTGTAAATACACAGGAAACTCGGGCTCTGCAGACAAGGAGGGCTGGTAAAAGTCACCGAGCCAGGTGCACAAGGTCCATGGGGCTGGCCCTTAACCTTTGTCCTCAGGGTGTGAGAAGGTACAGAGCTTCTGATGAAGATACAACCTGTCCTTGTTGGGTACTGCCCCAGCACCTCATGTAATCACCACGGCTGTAGGAGTTGGGTATCTCCTCCCCAAAGGCCCATGTATTAAATGCTTGTCCTCAGCTCACAGAGCTACTGGGAGTTAGAGAAATTTTACAAGGCAGAGCTAGTGGGAGATCTGGTCATACCCAGCCTGTCCTTTTTCTCCCGTCAGGTGAAATGACTTCCTCTGCCAGGGCTTCCTATGACGTCTGTGTGGCCACAGCCCAAATTAATGGGGCTTAATGATCATGGATTGAAACCTTCAAAACTCAAGGAACTTTTCCTCTTTAAGTTGATCATCTCAAGAATTTTATTACAGTAACAGAAAGCTGATGAACATAACTACAGAACATGGCAGGATGTACAGTCAGAGGCAGCAGTGCCAAAATCAAGTCTGATCTGATACCTGCTTTCTGACCACATCCATCCTGAGCCTCAGCTTTCTGACCGGACCAGCTCTCACAGTGTGGGCTTCTGTATTACAAAACGGCTGGAACCTAGGTGGGGGTTTGGACCAAGAGCCAAGGCCCAAATTGCATCTATTCCTTCTCACCTCCACTTTCAGGGTGGCCATCTGTGCTCTGAGGATCAGCACCTGCACACAGGCTGGCTGGTACTGCCAACCAGGCCAAGGCCGACATCTCTGGCATATAAAGTGCTGGTGACCAGCTGCTGGGGAGAACAGCCTCACACCTCAGATGCAAATGCCAGCAGAGTCCTCAGGGGCATGAGGATTTGTTTACTCAACAAACTGCTTCCAAAGAGACGCATCCAGGCTCAGCACCTCCTCCCCACCTGCCTGGACTAATGTGCCAGGAAGAGAACAGGAACCCTGCTATCAGAACAAACAGGGTAGGAAGCCTGCCAGCTTTGGGGGCTCCAGCACTGCCCATACCACAGCAGCTATGACCATCACCATCCCATACTGCAACCAAGTTGCCAAGAGGTTAATGAAACCCTGGCAAGTGCTCCAGTGACATGCATACCACTGGTATACGCTGAGGTGGCACTGTGTGGGGGCCAAGTCACTGGGCCACCTTGTGTATTTAGCAATACATCCTGGAGTTTTGAGGAGAGGCCTGAGGCTGATGGGGAAGCAAGGGCACTCACAGTCGGGCCAACAATAGCCAATGCAGCTGGTATATAGTACATCACGGCAAACATCGAGACATCATCTTCGTAACTCTGTCCCTACTATACACATGGAGACACCAACCACTATGGAGATGGTGGTTGACACCTGTGCTGGTGTTCATAGTGAGTGCTGGAAGCACTGGCCACTGGGCTGTGAGCTTCATGTTCCCTGGTACACTGCGTCCCCACAGTCCCACCTTACAGGACATGGAGGCTCTGTGAGGCCCTGGATCTCAAAGCTCCTAAGTAGCAGAACCTCTGGTCTTGTCCTTGTCTTTAACACTACCTGGTGCTGAGAGGTCCCACTGCAGAAACTGGTACCCTGCTATCCCTGGACAGGGAGATGTTAGCCTGGGTATGATGCAGGTAGGAGAGGAGCACCAGGATCCAGTCAGGTTGCCAAGGAACCCAAGAAGCTGCTCCTCAGCAACCACTCTGCTTTGGCTTCCAGATGAGGCCCAGAGGCCCAGGTCAACCAGGGCAGAGAGTGAAAGGGTACTTCCCAGAGTATGGCAGACGTACCTCTACGATAAACAGGCCTACGATAAACAGGTTGGGGTAGGCTAGGCACGGCAGCCTAGCAGATGAAAACTAGCAGTGTGGGGTGCTAGCTCTGTGTCCAACACCACGTAAACCCATCTGTTCACAGCAGGAGAAATGCTCAGAAGCGAATGTGGAGGCCAATGTGAGGTGGCCTAAACATTACAGACTGAAAACATGGGCCAAGGCTGGAACTGGTGTTCCAAGAAGCAAAACACCTCAGGTGTAGAGTGAAAGCTCCGGGCTAACAGGCCGCAGTCCTGTGGGGACTGTAACCTTGGATAAGTCCCTCAGCTCTCAGCATCACCTCTCACAGGCAGGCCGAGATACAGAATCCTTCCCAAGCCACAGCATCCTCAGCCAGCAGCACAAGGCAGAGCTGGCAGCACACGCTGCTCCTGCTTCCTGGCCTCAGAAACTGAATCTCAGAAACTAGCCCTTCTGACAGGGCTGTCACCTACCCCAAGGCTCCAAGGTAGCCTCTGCTGGGTCCCATGAAGGCTTTACACAAAGGCTGGCACATCAAGACATCTCCCAGATAGCAGCTCCTCTGTCTGAGGCCCTGGGGCCAACACAGTCCCCTGGGTCATCCCTCAACATAAAACTCCTCACCTGCTTCTACTGGGCTCAGCTTTATTACTCCAGCAGCCACAGACCCACCTCCATGTCCAGTCCCACCTGGGCAACCTGTCTCTTGGCTCCCCTGGCAGAAGACTCCATGTCCATACTGGCTCACATAGACAGTCTCCCTGAACACATAGGTGGCCCTCCTTCCTTCACAGCACATCTGGCTGTTAGTGCTGGGCAGGGCCACCTGTGACCAGTGCAGAGCGTAGTCTCCCTCTTCCTAGAACTTTATCATTAGTGGCCCTCGGCCACCAGCCCTCAGCCCATTAACGGGTCGTGCTCTTCGATCACAGCTGTCCACATCCCACTTCATCTTTATGGTGCTCCTGACCCACAGCAAGTCCCTCACTTCACATTCTACTCAGGCTGACCCCAAAGCCCCCTCCATGCACACTCAGGGGCTGAGAAACTTGTGTCAGGCGAGTGAGACATAGGCTTACCCCCATCTTGCCCAGAGGGAGATCCAAAGTCTCCCCTGAGCCTGCTTTGAAGCCTGAGACAGCCCCTCCACCCCCATCCTGTCCTCCCCATTCTATGCCCTGGCCAGTTCACCTTCAGTGTCAGCTCCCTTCCCTTCTTGCTGGGCTCCTTCTAGCGGCAATGCCCGACAGAGCAGCTCCCAGCTACCCCACCCCTCCACCTTCTGCCTCCTCCCTACTGTGGTGGGAGCTCCAAGAGCAGGACCCACAGTCATGCTCACTCTGCATCTGGTGTCTGGACTGGCTGGGACCGGTAGCACCTGGCAAATGCTAACAGATGGAGATGGTGGGCTTGGGGCTCTGGTTCCCTGCTATGAATTGTGATGCTGTGTGGAGTCTCATGTACTCTATGAGTGATGAAGGAGATGGTACCTGGGGTCTGATGTGCGGCCTGGACTGGGGAGGCCATTCACACCCTGCAGCAGCTAGGAAGCTTGCTCTTCCTCCACATTAAGAAAACAAAGGACAGCAGGTACAGTGGTCAGCACTGAGGGGGTGATGTGAGCCTGGGAGCCAGGGGGCCAGCCTGAGGCAGAGACACCTGGGGTCTGGGGAAGTGTGAGGACCTGTGCTGGGGCCATGAAGACTCAAAGCTTCTTTTTCATTTGATTTTTTTTTTTCTGAGACAAGATCTTGCTATGCAGCCCTAGTTGGCCTCAAACTCATGGCAATCTTCCTGCCTCAGTCTCCTGAGTGCTGGGATTACAGACATGAGCCATCAGGCCTGGCAGGTCTTCATCTCTAAACTGCAGAGATAAAGCACAGACCACTGGCCTTAGAGTCTCCAGGGGACGCAAGCAGCCTGTGAGTGCTGGCTCTGGACATTACCCCATGCTGTCCCTGCCAGCCCAACAGCCCAGGGTAGAGCTCTGTTGTTAGTATCCCCCACAGGGCCCCTGGTTGAGTGGAGACTGAGACATGCCCAGCAGAGTCAGGCTCCAAGCCAACGGCTTCCCAGGGCCCCAGCAGGGGGCAGGCAGGGGATGTAGTGTGGGGATGCTGTGACTGGATGCCATGGCAGGAGACGCTGGTAGGGAATGCTGTGGTAGGGCTTAGGCTTGGCTCCCAACCCTGCAGCTCAGGATGGCAGAAGCAGCACCTGCCCACGAGGATCTGGCCCTGTTACCACATGCTGTATGACCCTAGAAAAACTCTCCCACTGGAGGGGCCTCAGTTTTCCCACCTATAAACCCTAAAGGGTTGAGTCCTTTCAATTCCTAGATTCTGGAAGGACCCATGGGATGGACCGATTTGGTGGCTGATCAGGGCTAATGTTGACAGCAGGATTGGAAGACAGAAGTGAGAGGATGTTGTGCTGCAGGTATCTGGGCCTGGTGCTTCCCCACAGCTGGACACTTGGGGTTCCACTGCTCTACACCTAGAAGCCTACACAGGGTGTAGGACTTTCCCAGGACCCCACAGGGAGGAGGGGCTCTCACATCTCCAGTCAAGCTGACTTCCATCTTCTATCCCCTGAAGATACCAAACTACAGATAGCTGGCTGCAAAGCTAGGGGACCGCCAGCACAGAGTCACCTGCTGCTCACCTGGGAAAGCATTGACATCAATGACAGCATGCTGCCCCGTCTGGTTGTTGATGATAATGTCGATTCCAAAAAGTGACACTCCCAGCGCCTGCCGCAGAGCCCGGGAGAGCTCCCGAATGACCTCATCACTTGGCCGCTCAAATACGCCTTCAATCTTGTCCAGCTGCCAACACACACAGAGGTCAGGGTGGAGGAAATGTCATGCCATACAGTGTAGAGACCCCTGGCATATGGAGACCTATCATCCTTCACATCAGGAGGAGAAGCCAACACCCACAGGCACCAGTTCATGAAGCTAGGTACCTTGTGCTCAAGCACCACAGTATTTTAATAGGCAGGAAAATGGGCTTAGAGTCAGGGCTGGTTCAGGATCACACAGCTTAAGAGTACAGGGCAGGATTTGGCTTCCACTTTTTCAGTTTCCCAAACCCAATCCTTCTAGGAAGGAGGAAGCAGATAGTCTGTCATGTACACATACATTAAGGTAGAGAGAGCACTGGAGCAGGCCTTAATGGCAGAGAGATTGAGATGTTGTCAGGTAGAGGTGGCATAGAGGGTCCTGACCAGCATGCCAGAATGATGCTCACCCATCTTTGCTGGCAGACTAGAGGTGTGAGATTGAGGGCTCTGGGGACTGGTCTTGTTTACTGCAGATCTGCAGGCAGGTATATGGTGAACTAGGGCATTTGCCAACAACAACCCATCCCACATGACCTGGGTTTTCCCAGAGGAGAGGCCAGCTGCTCTCCCAGGACTCTAAACCCAGATTCCAGCAACGCTCCTCACAGGCCTGCAGCCCAAGTCCTCCCACCTGCCCCAGATACTCTCAGGGTCACACATTTTCTGCTCTAGCCCAGGTGGTCTGGGATAGGCATTTGAGTCTTTACGTACTCAAGCCTAGCCCCAGCCAGGACCTCCGAGGAAGAAGGATGTGGCCTTGGCAGGAATTCTGGGGTAGGGATTTGGATTCAGATGCTGATAGAGATTTCCCAGTTCTGTGGACTTAAGAGAAAAGTGCTTGGCCTGTGGCTCCATTTGCTCATCTGTACAATGGGACTGATAAGACCTCTATCCTAGATTTGCTGGGGGTTGCGGGGGGCAGTGAAGTAGGTGACAGGGTGGGGACAGGACGGGCCTGTGCTGCTCCTGAATACTAGGACACAGACTGTATCATGTCACTTCAAGGTCAGCCACACCAGGGCATCTAAGAGGTACCAATAAATACTGGAGTTCTTAAGGAGTGTGAGTTTGGGTCAAAGTGGGAAATGCAGCTGAGTCAAAAATTCAAATACACTGGGCAGGCAAGATGGTTCAGCAAGTGAAGGTCTTGCTGCCAGGCCTGATGATCTGAATTTGATCCCAGGGACCCACATGGTAGGAGAGAAGGACTCCCACAAGTTGTCTTGGGCCCTCCACACATAAAGTAAGTAATTAAACATAAAAAAATTAATTTAAGAGGGCTGGAGAGATGGCTCAGCAGTTAAGGGCACTAGTTGCTCTTACAAATGACTCACACTCAAAGGTGGCTAACAACTGTCCATAACCCCAGTTCCAGGGGATCCAACACACTCTTCTTACCTCCGTAGGCACTGCATGACACAGGTGTACTTATCATATGCAGGCAATATACTCATACATAGAAAATAAAATTAATAAAATATATTTTTTAAATGGCCAGGCATGGTGGCACATACCTTTAATCCCACTACTTGGGAGGCAGAGGCAGGAGGATCTCTGAGATCAAGGCCAGCCTGGTCTACATAGCAAGTTCCAGGCCAGCTGGGGCTACAGGGAGACCCTGTCTCAAAAAAGAAAAAAAAAAAAAAGAAGTGATGCTGGGTCAGGAGAATTGGAGACAAAGCCCTGGTCACTAAGACAAATGACCTTGAAATGAACAGCAAGAAACTTCCAGACATGTACTGAGCAGAGACAGACACATGGGCCTCATCCAGGCCTTGCTGCACAGGCCATCCCTCTACGCTTCCACTCAAAATGACAGTGTCTTATGTCTGACCTCAGGGAGACTGTTTCCTCATGGGCAGTCACCACCTGGCTACAGTGGGTACTCAGCCCTGCCTGAGTTTCCTAGTCACTTAGGTCAGTGGCTAGGCTCAGCCCAGGGTCTCCAACAAGTTAGAGACCTTGGCCCTCCTGTCTCCACTGTGTACCTGAACTGTCATGCAGCCCTCCTGCCTTGTTTTCTCACCCAGTAAATAGGTTAATAAAAATACCTAGGACGTGAGGACCGTGAAACTAGTGTTTGAGGCCTATAATGCAAGGCCTAGAAGCAAGGCGGCCCCATCCACTGCCTGTTACTAAGCGTTATGACATGCTGTTTATAAAAGCACTTTCTCAGCTCAGCTAAGGAATCTCAGAAATCCTTCCAAAGTCATTTGATTATCCAAATCCAAACAGTCAGCCTAGGACTAGATAAAGGCATAGAAATTGGCCTGTGCATTGAAGCCAAGTGAGCCAGTGCAGTCCTGGTGTGAGGGAGAGTTGAGCAGGTGCCCCTGTGGGCTGCCCTGGCACCACTTTCAGTCACCCATGAATCCCACAGATTCTCTGGGGCAAGGGGAATAAACAGGCTCAGGTAGGCAGGTAGGTGATGTGACTCAGGTCAGACCACAGGCAGTTCCATTAGAACTCCTCTCCTGCTTTTGGCAGTGCAGGAGATGAATCCTAGGGCCTTATGTGTATGATGCAGGGACTCTGCCACTGAGCTACACCCCAAGACCCCACGCTTGTAATAATCCCCTGCACTGGCTCTGAAAGGCAAAAGGTGCTGGGGGTCTATGAGCTGGGGTGAAGTTAGGCCCACTGTCAAGGACAAGGCAGGCCCCAATGTCAGCAGGGCTCCCTGTGTCTCATGGTCCCACATGGGCACAGAAAGATGAGTAGGGTTCCGGCCACTACTAGTTCTTGGGAGTGCAGCCAACTGCTAAGTCAACTTGTAGGTATCCAGGAGGCTGATGTCCCCAGAGAAGAGGTGGTGCTGTCCACACTGCCATCTTTTCCTTTCAGTGTCGGCTCCGGTGGGTTCCATGTGCTGAGTGGAAGTCAGGGAGACCACAAGCCTCAGGGGAAGAGAAGGAACCTGCTGCATCTTGCTGGACCCTTCCCATTTCTTAGATGAAGAAACAGGCCACAGCCTATTAGGTGGTGATTCAAGAAGGTGATTTCAGGCGGGTCGCTCTGTTCCCAGCCCTCGCAGTATCCCTCAAGTCAGCTAACAGCCCCAGTAGTCACCAGACCTACATAGCGTGAGGAATCAGCAGGGACAGCTTCTTGGGAAGCCTGTAGAAGGCCTACTCCTTTCTGTCATCCTGGTGAACAAGGATCTAAGTCACCTGGTGGGAGGGGCGGGGTACTAGTGATCTTGACACGTGGAGAAGAAAGACTTCTTCCACAAGGCACTACTTATATTTCTCAATGTGCATGATGGGCCCTGAGAGGTTGTTTGAAATCTGGTGGTCCAGGCAGGTGAGATGGCTCAGCAAGTAAAAGTGTTTGCTGCGCAAGTCTAGCCACCTGAGTTTGAGTCCCAGAATGCACATAATGCACATAAATTTGTAAAGAGAGAACCAACTCCAGAGAGTCGTCTTCTGACCTTCACACATGTACAATGGCATGCACACACATAATGTGTACACACACACACACACGCAATGAAATCAATTTGGTGATTCAGGGCATCGCTGATTTGTTTTGAGAGGATGGAGATCCCTCCAGGTCCCTGTCTAAGTCTCAGCACACAGCTGGCTCTTGAAAAGAACCACAAACACATAAGGCTGCTCAGCTTGGTGGGCAGGAACACAAGGCCCAGTTAGGGCCTAGCAGAGAACCTAGACCAGGCACAGGTCACTGGTAGCTTCTGTCAGTAAATCCTGCCAGGAGAGGAAGAAGGACCCAAGCAGAGCTCCCAGCACGTAGGATGGCTGTAACCCCAGGGGAACAGGAGGCCAACAGAGGCTCAGTTCAGGCAGTATGGCAGGAAGCCATTAGCAACTAGACTTCTGACAGTCTGAGGGGAACAGCAGACTGTGGCCCTGAGGTACTTTCTGTCACTAGCAAGGGCGGAAATTACTGGGAGACCCAGCTTTGGTATCAAACAGATGGGGGTCAAATCCCTGCTGGCCCCTGTGTAAACCTGGGGAAGTTACTGAACCCCAGAGCTGGTCATCTCTCCCATAAGATTGCTGCAAGTCCATTAAATACTTGGCTGAAGTCTGCCATGGTGAAGTTAACTGAAAACTAGCCACCAAGCCAGGTGTGGGGCTGCCCAACAGGAGCGCTGCCTCACAGTAAGCAGCCCTCCCACCAGGCCCAGTGTGCTCACTTGCCAGACAGGTACACAACTGTGATACCACACTGCGGGAGGGGGGGGTGTCTCTGGAACTTGCCTAGGCCCTTAGTGTGGGGACAAGGGCCTTTCTTGCTACTCTGGCCTGCCAGAGAGTTCAGCTGGGGAATCCAGGGGCAAACTACACCCATATCCAAGATCAGATGCAGGTGGCTTCCCACAAGACCACTATGGAGAACAGACATACCTCAGTGAGAACTGACGAGGATTCTGGCTTTGACACATTGTGGCTGTTGAAGAAGATGGACTCACGATCTGAAAAAGCAGACAGAGCGAATCAGACCTGGATAGCAAATGCCCAACACCAGGGGGCAGCACCACCCCAGCCACACTCTGGGGTGACCTCTGGCTCAGCAGCAGTAGTAATGCCCTGGGCTCTTGAGAGCCAGGCACCTCCAGTTGCATCACAGATGAACGTGTGCCCATCAGGACCCTAATTTCAATTTTTCCTTTCACGTAAAAATGAATGGTTTACTGAGCTACCACCACCACCATCTTACAGTATCATCCCTAGGTTTCCTTAACACCTAAGGCTAGGCATAAGTGTATACAGGGGGACTAGGAAAGACCTGAAGTATCTAAGGGAAGAGGTCTCATAAGTGCCATTTGGTCTAGGTACGCCTGATCAGGTGGCCACTGGCACATAAGCTTAACACACAAAGAGCTCTATTGGTTTCCAACTACTAACAGGAAACCTGAACAAGGGCTTCCATAGGATCCATCCAGGATAGCACATAGAACCACCTGTGTGCCCTGTAATGCCCCCACCTCCTCCAGTCCACATGTCCTGTTCCACAGCTGCTGCCATCCACCTGTCTTTCAGCCCACTGGACACCAGAGAGGCAGACCAGTTCAGGAACACGATGGCGTGTTCACTTATCCCCTGTATCAATGTTCTTGGAGCCATCAGTCATGGTTGCTCTGGGGAAGATATAAGGCTGGCAGCGCAGGTTGAAATGTTCTCAGGTACTTGGAAGTGTGGGCACGCTAGGGCAAGAGTCACAAAACCACAGGCCGGGGATTGAGTTCTGCCCAAGGCTATCAACCCCTAAGAACCCCACCCGACAAGAACAGCAGAGGACCGTTTTGGACTAGAAGCCCCCAAGGGATCCTGACAGCCCCTGCTCAATCCTTGCAGGGGAGGTGTCATGGACCTCACCCCCCCAGGACACAGCGATCATCCCTGGGACATAGGCTCCCAAGCATTAGGGCAGGGCGAGCCATGATCGAAGGCCTGCGTGCCAGGGCTCAGGTGCCTGCTGTGGCTGCCATGACCCCCCAGCAGCTGCACAACTCTATGGCGCCGCAAAAATCATGCACGAGGAAGTGATTCGGGCAGAGCCAAGCAGGCAGGCGCTGAAGTACCTGGCATCCTTCCCGCTAGTGAGCCACAGAGGCCCATGGCCACCCCGGTGTGCCCGACAGTCCTCCCGCTCCGACCAGAGCCAGTCCAGACGGGGGGCATGAGAGACGGTCCTGGGGAGGAGCCTGGGAAAAATAAACACCCTGCGGGACTTGTGCCAAGCAGGCCCACCAGTCTCCAATCTTGGGCACGAGTAAGTTTCAGGGGTGGCAGAGCCTGACAGGCCAGAAGCCAGAGCAGGGCTTCATTGCTTGGGTGGTGCGCTGGCTTTCTGTAGGCACTGCCCACCTTCTCTTCCTGGAGACCCCTGAGCTTGGAGCACCTTCCCACCCAGGTCCCTGTAGGTCCTGAAGGTCAGTGTAGTAGAGCAGGCCTGTGAAGTGAGGATAGGTCCCCAGGAACAGGTGGACACAGCAAAACTCAGGGAGGCTGGGAAGACTACAGGAGCTTCAAGAACTGCACACAAGTACTTGACTGGTACTAGGAAGGGATGCAGCACCAGGGACCTGTGGTGCCCACTAAACTGGACAGATCACATCCCCATCAGCTTCTTATAGAAGGGTCAAACATATAGACATCTCAAAGGGGAATCCCCTCCCCCCGACTGCTACTGCTGGCCTGGTGTACTCTAGAATGGAACTCTTCTTAGGGCAGCAAGAGATGCCCCAGGCCCAGCACCTTGCCATGTGCAGCAGAAGAGGGATGGAGAGGGAATGGGCAGCTTCTAGCCAGTCCCTGACACCAGGAGACTAAGAGGATCTGAGATAAGTTAAAGGTGTCTAGCTCCAGTAAAGAGCCTCGGTGCTTGGTTTCTTGGGCATCTTTGAGACACCTGGTCCCTCTAACAGATGGCTGGGGCCTGGTCTTATTTCCAAAGTCAGCGGCAAGGCTCTTGCTCCCGAAAGTACTGAGAATTTGGGTGCCCCAGCCAGTGACTGTTTCTGACTAGTCCACACTAGTCTGACTAGCATGGGAGCCATCCCCACCTTCCTCTAGGAGTGTGATGTCAAGGAAATGGGCACCAAGTAGTTTCGTTCTCATTCTAGAGATGAGAAAAGCCAGACTCAAAAGGAGAGTGAATGACCAGACAGGCTTGGACATCCCAGCCAAATGGTAGTGCAGCTGTAAGCTGTGGCCATGCTATCTTTTCACAGTCCTGCCATTAAACACCACCTCTGAAGAGGGGCTAGTACTGGAGCTGCCCTTCTCACATGGCTCCCTTACCCCTGGTGTCCAATGACTGCCTATGTCCCCTGGAACCCTTGTCTCAGGAGAAACTGGCCTTCTGGCCATTTCTCTTGTATGTTATTCCCCACTGGAATATACATTGCTCATGAAGACAGAACCCTATCTGGCTGGCTCCTGGCTGGTTCTTCAGCATACCACATAGGGTGGGTCCATGGAAAGTTCCTAAAAGCATCATCTTTAGATGCTCTGGACTCAGCTCAGCAAACTATAAATAAGCCAGGAGACTTGCACCTGTAGTTTCCTAGGTGTATAGCCCTGCCCACTGATTTGCATATCTCTACAGTTTCTTTTGCCTTACAATAGCACCAAATGACTGTGATAGCCTAGAGATAGTTATTATTCAGTCTTTTGCAAAAGAGGTATCACTCTTATATGTATCCCTAAGGGTCAAAAGACCAGGAGGGAGAAGGTACTAGAGCCCCTACACAGAGCTGGGAACCCAAATAGGGCTGTGGTGATGTGACATCAGGGTCAAGGTCAAGGAGAGAGAAGCCCCCCCATATAGGAAGTGGGAACAGAGACACCTGGAGTATGAACCACAGGCAGAGAACATGAGAACATTCTTTATATATTCCTTAGTGGTTGGCACATGCCAGTGCCAGCTCTCTTAGTAAGAACTTTTAGGGTTCCAGTCTAGGCACCTCCAAGGTGTCATGGCTATATAACTCATATACTTGACTTTGGATGTTGACATCTGAAGGAGAGAAATGAGCATGGGACTCAAAGGAGACTGATGGCTGTGGAGTGAAGATGCCCTTGTCTGTATCCTAAGCACAGAATGAGCCCAAGCCTGTAAACCTATCTCCCAAGGTGTACACAAGAAACACGGGGGCTGGGATGGGGTGGGGTGAGGGTGCTCTGGAAAGAAGCCAGGACAGTCAAGCCCTCTTTCCAACTAGTCTGGAAGAAAGAGCTGCTAGGGCATGAGGCTCTGCAAAGGTCATGCTTGAGGAAGCTGGAACCATGCCGCTTCCTGACACTGCCCTGAAGACGCAGGCCCAGGGTCAAATGCACACACTGGAAGTCACTCTCATGTCATATATGCTTTTCTACTCTCCAGCCCAGCACTGCACTTTATGGTAAGGAGGGCTTCATGACCTAGAAACAGTCACGAGAGAAGACACACTGGTGAGTTCTCATCTGCACTGCTCCCTGCTCCCAGCTCCCAGTGCCAGGATGGAAACCGGCCTAGTGCTTTATCCCCAGGAAGGAGGAAGAGGACGAAGCAAACAAAACACACTTTTATGGAGTAAGAAAGGAGAACAGATGCCAATTTGTTTCAGAGATGAAACAATTTGGGGAAAGAAAAGAAAGGGCTTGACATGAGAGTGGGGGGCACACAGGGACGGAACCATACCTCACACGTGCTAAACAACATTCTACTGCTGACCTGCACCTCCAGCTTAACTATTCTTAACTAAATACAGTTTTCATAGATTCAATGCCTGTATTTTTAAAAGTTATGTGTCTTGTGTGTATGTCCGTGTGAATTTCAGTGCACCACATCTGTGCAGAGGCCAGAAGAGGGCACTAGATCCCCTGGAACTAGAGTTACAGGCAGTTATTAGCCTCCACATGGGTGCTGGGAGCCAAACCCAAGGGCATCAAGTTCTCTTAACTGCTAAGCTACGTCTTCAGCCCCGCATGTATTTTTAAATGCTTATTTTTTATTTTATGTGTATGATGCGTGTTTTGCCTGCATGTATACATGCACCCATATATACAATATCTGCAGGGGCCAGGAGAGGGCATCAGATCCCCTGGAACTGGAGTTACAGAAGATTGTTAGCCATCATATGGATAATGAAAACCGAACCTGGGTCTTCTGCAAGAGTAGCCAGTGCTCTTAACCACTAAGCCAGCTCTCTAGTTCCCCACATGTATTTTTAAAATCTGGCAATTGTGTAAAAACAGCCTCCTCTGTCCCATAATTTGCAAGAATGTCTCTTGGTAGTACATCTCACTTTTGCCCATCACTGCCCTACGTCATTCCATGGTCCCAGTGGGCAGTCCTAGGACCAGTGTCAGGATGGCACTGCCTAACCTCAGCAGGGAAATGAGAACTGAAGCACAGCTCCAAGTGCCTGCCACTGCTATGTTAATGGGAAGGAAAGTGACCCATGGAAAGAAAGGATGAGGGGACAAGAGTGGGAGGAGGATAGGATGGATGGTGACAGGCAGCCCCAGGAGGACGGCCTTTGAGGGGATGGGGAAGGAAGATGACCTTAGGGAGGGCTTCTGCTTGCTCAGCTACAGCTGCACAGTGCTTCAGGGACAGCTCTTCCCTCCCAGGCAGAAACAAGGCTCACCAGGCAATCTGATATCCTCCAAGGGGCCTTCCCAGAGAGCTGTGCTGCTTCCAAGGGGGTTGCCTGTCCCATAAGCTTCTAGAATTTGCCTTAGAGAGGCTTTCAGTACCACTAGACCATTCTTTTGAAAAGCCTCAGTGCCAGGACATCTTTAACTGCATGGTCAAGGACAGCTGGTGCACAAGATAATGGATGGAGGTGGGCCTCTGAAGAAGGCCTCCAGGGGCCTCTGCTCCCCAGGCCCCCCAAGGCTCTCAAAGATGATGAGTCATATAAACACCTCAGCCATGTGGCATCTGAGGGACAATAGGGCCCCATCTATTCAGGGGCTGCTCACTGTGGTAGGGCAGAGATGACTGTGCACACTGGGAACTGCCTGAGGTTACCTGCATGGATCCTTGTGACTCAGCAGCCACTGCCTACTATGGCAGCCCTGCTGTACCTTGACAGTTGCAGAAGCCACAGGTAACTCAGATTCAGGGTCCTCTTTTGGAAAGTGGACACTTAGGCAAGGGTAGCATGTGGAACAGTCAGTAGCCATCTCCCTTCCTCACTTCTGTGCAGGCTCCTGGAGAGCCGGCTGGCCATGCCCACTCCAGCACACTCCTGTACCGTCACTGAGTGAGCCCAGGAACCCGGGGGATAGGAAGCTTCTAGGTTCTGGAACCGCTAGCTTCCTGGAGTTGATGGTGGCTCTGTGGACTGAAGCCCCACAGTGCCCTGGGGCACAAGGTCTCTTGTTGGTTCTTCAAGATCTTTCCATCCATTCATCATATACAACTATCAACTTGGGTCAATTTTCCCCCAGCCCAGAAGTAACATGGGGCACCAGGGGACAGACACTAGTTGTCCATCCTAGCCCTGCCCCAGGGTCTGGTATAGTGTGACAGCACAAGGGACAGTGAGTTACCTGATGTGCCCGCGGAGAAGTTCTTGAGCGAGGGCCTCTGGACCACAGTGTAGGACTCGCCTACCACAAACACCTTGTACAGCACAGCATTGTGGTTGATGAAATTCTGGACCACACAGGGGGGCTGGATGGCATTCAGGCCCTCCTGGTTGAACACAATGGCCATCTGGAGAGACAGGGAGCCAAAGACTATCAGAGTTCACCAGCGTCCAGCATAGTGGCATGTCACTTTTCTGGGTACCCCCACCACGACCTCTCCCTGACCCTGTGGCCAGAGGACCCCCCAAGAAGAGTCTCAAACCAGGATGAGTGGAACAGGATGCTTCTGCAGATTGATTCACTTGTGATTGATTCAGCTGTGGGGGCTGAGTTGGAAACCCTGCAACCACTGGATCTACTATGTCAAGTTGTGTGGGCTGTGCATTGCAGAGCTCCTTAGGGAATTATTGATTGCAGTCCCAGGGAATAGTGCCCCCTAGGGTAGGTGCTCCTAATACCTTCTGACACCCAGAGGCTCTTCCACAAAGACCCAGGAAGTCATCTCTCTCCCAAAGTAGGAGCAGAAGCTATGGACCAGGAGTGGGAGGCCTTGAGTCAAAGTTGCCTCTTCTTAAAACATCATAACAAGCTCTGAATCACGTGGTGTCATCCTCACGGTGCCCTTGAGATAGGCGCACTGCCACCCCTTTACAGATGAGGAAACTGAGGCCCTACACACTTCAGTGACCTGCAGGAGAATGAGAGGCTGGGATAGGATCGAGTCTGTCTGGCACTCTGCCCTGCTTCTCACACAAAGCCATATGACGCTCAATGAACTGGATGAAACTTTGTCCCTGTCTCCAGCTCTACTAGGTACAAACATGCTAAATGGAGAGGCTCTCCCAGAGGCTGGGAAGCAGGGACAGCTGTGCCCTGTTCTCCATTCCACCCCAAAGCTGGGTCTCCATGGCCTGTCCTAAGGAACCAAGGGGCTGGCCCCTGCCCACCTGGCCACCACTAATCCCTGGCCTACAGGGCCAGAAAGGAGCCCATGCATGACAGGGCTCCTGAGGCTGCTGAGCAGAGCTAATGGGCCTGGTTAGCTGGCCACCTGCACTAGCTGCCACCCTCACATCAGCCTTCACAGAGCACCACCTTACACAGGAGCTCAGCTGGACAGAAAGTGAAGTCCAGGCTATATGGTAAAAACTGTGTAGGGGTCAGGGGATGTTCCCTCAGTCTTCTGACAAGAATGAGGGAACCAAAATGGGAAGCAGGAAGAGTTCAGGTGCATGAAGCCAACAGGCTCAAGTCCCCAGCACTGGCAAACACTGCACAGCACAGATCACACTATGCTCCACTTTCCTTGCTAAAAACAACTATGACCAGAAAATGTGGCCATGGGGTTTTGTGAGTTGTGGGTTATGTATTTCTTAAAGCAGGGAGAGAGGCAAAGGAAGAGGGAGGCTGGGAGGGAGGGAAAGAGGGACACGGGGTTGGGGAAAGGGAGGGAGGATGGGAGATTGTCTCTGTGGAACTTATGTGTGTGCTGTACTGGCTTACTAATGCCCAGCAGTTCCAGATGCACAGGAGGAAACAGGTCAAGGGGGGCTGAGTATGGTGCTGGATGAGGCAGGGCTTGCGAGGCTGTGATGTGAATGAGGACCCCATCAAAACTGCCCCCAATCATAGCCCCGTACATGCAGTGTCATCTCATCACACTCAATGTCCCTGGGTGCCGCTGAAAGATAGGAGGCACAGGTTCCCACCCTGCCCATTCCACAGAGGATGTTCTCAGAGGTGACAATCTCTCCCACCCTGACGCTCATGGGTCTCCACATGCCTAAGGACAATTTCCCACTACTGGCTGTGGGCCAGCAGAGTATCTGGTGCTGGAATAGCAAGAGAGGGCGTGCATGTGTGCGCACCTGGAGCCAGTGGCTTCCCTAGGGATGCTGACCCATATTTGGGGGGTGATTCCCAGTGACTCATCAGGGACCTGCCAAAAAGAGCCCACTTGGATTCAGAACTCCCACCCCAGGACAGCTGATTCTTCAACAGCCTATCAAACGATTCCCAAGCACCATAGCAAACCATGAAGTAACTCCCTTCACTGTAACTGTCAAATCCCCAATTATAAAGGCAGAGCAGATGCTCAGAAACACATGGTGATTTGCCTGGAGGTACATGGCTAAGCACTGACTGTGCTGTTCCTGTGCTCTCCCAAAGCTGAAGTCCAATGCCTGGGATCTTGAATCGGAGGAGCTACCTGGTGATGACAGGGAAATGGACCCAGGGAACAGCACTGGCTGCTCCGGATCCTGCCTGCTCCCTCTCTGGCCTACTCGTGAGGTGCACCCCAGGTGCAACCAGGCTAGGTTAGGGGGCCACGATGTACCCACAAGAGTCTTGACCTTCATAGACAGTTGCCCTCTCAGCAGGCGGTGACTTCCTTCCCACAGCAGGGCAGGCCCCTGTCACAGCCTGTCTCCTGCTGCTCTGCCATTGTTTATAGACATTTCCCCATAAATATCTGCCAGGGAGAAAAGCATGACCTCAATCTGGTAAAGGTCTTCCATTTTTAGTCCTCCTTGGGGGAGCACTTCTGATAGGATGGCTGTCTGGGCGGGCTGTCCCCACAGGGACACTCAGCTCACCTTGGAGATTGTGGGACCAGAGGGCTGAGAGGCCACAGAGGCCCAAGGGAGCCCCTGCATGGCCACTGCTCCTCTCAACCCTAAAGTCCTCACATCCCAAAGGCACCATCTCTCCAGGGGCTCTGTACTTGTCCAGGAACAGGATTCCCCAGCACCAAGGTGGGTGGGGGGTAAGTCCAGCACATCCTCTTAACCTTGGGGACAGGGACAGGTAGTGAGATAAGGTTGGAGAAAAGACAAGAGTCACAGTGTTTCTCCTGAACTCCTTGTAGAGCCTGAGAAGGGAGCTGTACCCTCAAGGAATCATGACTTGGAGCAGGACGGGGAGCAGTAGCAGTGGGGCTCCAGTGAGAGAGCTCAGCAGGGCCCCAAAGGGAATGACTAGCAGGTACTGGGGTGAGGCAGGGACAGGCAAGTCTTTCACTCACCTCATGAGAGTTGGTGCCATGAGCCACTCTGGTCTTGCAAACTACGTGAGAGAGAGAAAAGCAGAGAGCAATTAGTGGGGCTGGTCACCACTGAGACACAAGACTGGGTTCCTCCAGACAGGACTCTCCCATCCAAGAGTTAACCAGGCCCAACCCTACTTGGCTTCTGAGGTCAAGTGAGACTAGGGTCATTCAGGGTGATGTGACTGTAGACCAGAGAGGAGCTCCTAAGATATTTGTAGCCAAAAGGCAGAAAGGGCAGGTGGGAGCTACAGTAATAACAAAGTCATTGGGGATGAGTAATATCTGTGCTCAGGGTAATGTGGACAGATGCCCCAGGTCAGCAGGAAGAGTTCCTTAAGTCCATCCTTCGAAGACCCGCTTAAGGTATGGGTAGATGGGAGACCCAGGGCTGTGCCCTTTTGGGGAGCCAAGGTTTTCACCTGCCTCAAGTAAGCTCAACTCTAGAGGGGACTATAGCTACAACTACCCCCTACCCTGAGTAATGACCACCCTGGAGCTTGAGGTGTACTTACTGAAGGGGAAGGCCAGGCCGTTCTGCTCCAGTAGCCTCATGGTGTCGTCCCCACACAGGCTTGTGAGTTCCATGAAAGGTGGTGAGCAGATCCTGTCATCTAGATAGAGCAGAGGAAGTCTGGTCAGCCCACTCCTTCGAAGCCACCCTTAACACCTGCCTCCACACTCCCCAAATGATTGTCCCCCAACTCTGCAGCCCTGTGTGCATGCGTAAACAGTAAGTACAGCATATTCTTTCATGACATTTCCATTACTACTTCTGTAAATATAAAATTCTTATATGCTAACTGGAAAATGTAAGGAGTGTTGAAGAAAACCCACATTTTCTACAGCTATAATTACTAATTTCTTAGCCGCTAAGTATGCACTTACACATAGAAAGCTATCTAATGGAACACCATTATATAACCTGGGTTTTAATGTAATGCACTGTTATCACCTCTGTGGTTCAATGAACTTTCCCCCATATGTATCTTGGCTTTATGACAATGATGCAGGACAATGCCACATGGTTAGCTCTGGGCAGAGGTCCTGCACTATGCTGATGATGTCACCCATGTCCTCTACAGTCTGCAAAGCCAGTAAAGGAGGAAACTGAAGTCAGAGGAACAAAAGAACTCACAGTGACAAGGCTAGTCCTTCACACCAATACTCAGGCTCCCTCATCTCCAGTCTCCAGCTTTTGCAGCCTCCCTGCACCTCTGCTGCCAGACTCCAGTTCAAGTCTCAAGAGAGGCCTGTCTCATGTGCTCAACCCATGGAATTTTTAACGTTATTTATTTTATTGTTTTAATATCTTATTTTTTTATTTTATGTGTATGAGTGTATTACCTGCATACAGGTGTCATGTGATGCCTGTGGAGGTCAGAAGAGGGTATCAGATACCCTGAAACAGGAGTTACAGACTGTTGTTAGCAGCCATGTGGGTGCTGGGAAATGAAGCCAGGTCCTCTGCAAGAGCAGCCAGTGCTCTTAACCATTGATTTACCTCTCCTGCCCCTTAACATTTTCATTTAATTTTACTTCTGTGCACAGGCACACTTGAACCATGGTGCATATGAGGAAGTCAAAAGACAACCTGTGAGAGTTGGTTCTCTCCTTCCTGGGGACTGAACTCAGGTCCTCAAGTTTGGTGGCAGACACTGCTGAGCAATGTCACTGACTCCCCTCACCTGATGGATACTGGACGAAGCTGTGGAAGTTGACCTACTCTATATATACTCTGTGATACTTCTGTTGCCAAGAACCAAGCCTGGTCAAAGCAGATTATTGGTGGGAAATCAAATGTCTCTACTGATTATTCAATTGCTGGTTTGTTATCACTGCTTTTTGTCATATCCCCCTCCCTGAAGAGACCATGAGCTCCTAGGAGGCGGGACTACCCTGTATTTTGGGCCTAGGGCTCGAGATAGGCTGAGTGTTAGGCAGGGCAGGAGCAGCCTGCCACTCATAGACTTGGAAACCAAGCCCAAAGCAAACCAGCAAAGTGCTGTCCCCAGAGTGCCTAGCTACTTGGCTGATCGGCACATTAAATCAAGACCCAGCCTCATTTACCTTATAAAAAACACCACCAAGAGTTGCATGGGGCATATTAAAAGTGTTTTCATCCTTCTTTTCAGCCCACTCCCCTCAGGCAAGTCTAAACTCTAATCAGGCACAACATTTTGGGGTTGTAGAGTTTCTCAGGGGCCCTAGGAGAGGGTCAGGAGCTGGCATTTGTAGGCTGTTTGCACAAGTCACTCAATCTACCCTCAACATGCAGTACCAGTGGCGAGCAGCACAGATTCAGAAGCAGAGGCCCACGAGCAAGCACGCCCAAGGTCACCTGACAGTTCCCGCAGAGCAGGCTGGAGAGCAGGCTGACCTGGCAGCTCAGTGAAGGGATGGCAGGATAATGGCCTGGGGGAGGGGGCAGCAGGTCCTGGTGCACAGCTGTAAGTCATTATCTAAATGAAGCCCAGGTCTGCACTCTACCCAGAGCCAGAGCCTGAGCCTGAGCAGAAAGGCTGGTGAGTGGTTGTCAGGCCCTTCCACAGCCATCTGAGGAGAAAGGATGTGGCCTGTACAACAGGCTCAGCTGCAAAGGGCCTTGTTGCTCACTTCTGAACAACCTGTAGAATTCTGCAGCAAGCAGGCAAAGGCTTATCTGGCCTGGCAGGGGCTCCATCCTACCTCTAGCCCAGGACTTGGCCCACCCTCCCTCCCTGGGAAGACCTGGAGGCTTCTGGGATCCCTTTGTCTGTGCTCTGTGGGACTAGGCTCCTCTTACCAGAGTTTTCTGAGTGAGGAGACCACTTTGCTTTCTAGTTTTGGCTTCTCAGATTTCAATATCTTCCCAGCTGTGGCCCATTTAAACTTTTACAAAGTATCACAGATGATGGCAACATCTCAGTAAATTGTACTTTTTCTGGGCCAGACATTGTTCTGCATGGTTCCAGTTATTTACCCTCACGTTGCCCCCCAAGGAAGCACCTGTCACCCCATTCACAGACAGGGAAACCAGCATGGAGGTGAAGGTCTTTGTGTGGAGCTCTACAGTGAACATGTGCTGAAGCTGTGGGCACATACTAGGCAGTTTGACCCCATGGTCTATGCTGATGACAGAAACTGCCCATTAGAAGTGTCCATTGAGGTGGTTAGTATAGAAACTTAACAAATGGTCACAATGCAGAGAGTGTCAGTGGAGTATTCAGCCAGAACTGGGGTCTATATCACACACCCCAGACAGCCCTAAGGCTCAGGTGAGGGCAGCACCCATCCTCCCCGCAAGAGGTGTTTGGGGGTCCAGATAAATTGCACAGTTAAGACATTTCTGGCTAACAGGCCATTCCCAACACTAGGGAGACACCCTGCCTTTCAGAACTCTCTAGTGGACAAAAGGGCAGCCTGGGGGGTAGGAGGGGCCAAGGAAGAAGGACACATCTACCCACTGATACTTTTGTTCATTTATCCTACTTTGGAGATAGCTGCCCACACTCTGAGCTGCAGAGCCCTGGTTGCTGTTCCCATGCCTCATTTGGGGAAGAGGCACTTAGACTGAAACTGTCCTGATCCCACAGCCAGGAGGAGCTATCATAAGCTCGGGCTCAGCTGCCAACTTGCCACCAAGGGATCAGCCTTGGGTGAAGGCAGGCCAGAGCCCACAAAGCAGGCATGGGAGAGAATTCCTCCCTCAATGGGCCACAGACCATGCCAAGCCCAGAGCCTGCCCTGCTCTGGCCTCTGTGGCTGGTGTCATCACCCCCATGCCTGTGAAACTATAGTGAACAAGAAACCACCACTGTTCACACCTTGGTTTCAACAGCCATTCATCACTATGGAAGGATGGTCTCTACTAAGCTGAGAGCCAGGGATACAGGAGCAGAAAGAACAGATATCCAGGTATAAAAGTCAGACACTGGAGGGTTGGTGGGGAAGCAAAGCACCTGAGGGGAACTCTGGGATGCCCCTAGAGAGGGGGGTGTACACACAACCAACAGGATGAGGGAAGGCCTTGCTGAACAGAAGTGGGGAGATACACCGACAGGTCACATGTGGGCAGAGGGGCCAGCCAACAAGACCCAGCATACTACTGTCAAGACACACAGCCTGGACCCAGCTTCTGGCTCAGTCCAGCAGGTAACACAGAGGCTACCTCACTAAGGGGAATGCAGGGATAGGACAAGCCCTACAGTATTGGGTCTGGAGCCTTGGTTGCCAATCACCTTAGTCGCAGCAGACCCACCAGCTGCCTGTGGGAGGAAGAGTGTCAGCAGAGGCTCCCCCAACTCAGTCCCTTGAAGTGCGACGTGGCCTCACAAGTGGCTTTTCTCTCCACATGGGGACAGAATAAAAGAATTTTTGGTAAGTCAGTGCTGGGAGCCTAACAGGCTATTTCTGGTTCTTGGAAGAAGGCTAGTGTTGCTAATTTATCTGTCATGTTATTTCTGGATGGGAGTTGGAAAGAGGCTTTTTTTGGTTAAATGGTATATTCCTCCAGGAGTTGTAACATTACCTCCTGGGAAACTATGAGGCCCCCCAACTTCCCACTCTGTTACTTCAGACCAGACAGCATGAAGCTGGAGGGCCCTTGAGGGGGCAAGCCCCATCCACAGGCTTTCACAAGTCCAGAGAAGGGAAGATAACTATTCACCACTTCATACAGCAGCAAGCACTGGCAAACAGGTCATGCACAGTGTCCCGTCTACTTTGCAGGTAACCTTGCTCTCTTGGCAGCAGCAGCTGTTAGAGAGCTACCACGAAGGCAGAGGGGTCAATGGCAAACAGGTGGACACAAGAGGACAACTGGGTGCAGAAGATGGCACAGAAGACAACACAGGGGTACCTGACTTTGACCCTGGACTCAACCACTCACCAGCTAAGATCTTTGGGAGATAACTTGATACACTGAGTTGGGCTGTCAGGGGCCTGGCATGGAGCCAGCGTCCAGCTGAAGCGATCCACAGAAGAACAGGCAAATTCTGAATCATAGCCTCTGGTCCATGTCCAGCTTCCCAGGGATGTCAGACATCCAATCTAAGGCCAAACTCTACTCCTGTTGGTTTCCCTCATTATATTTTTATTTTCATCCTCACTGGGGTTCTTATTCAATAAATAAATTTTCCGGGGCTGGAGAGATGGCTCAGCAGTTAAGAACACTGGCTGCTCTTGCAGAGGACCCGGATTCAAAATCCAGCACCCACATGGCAGTTAACAACTGTCCGTAACTCCAGTCCCAGGGGATCCGACAGCCTCTTCTGTCCTCTGCGGGCATTGCATGACACAGGTGCACTTACCTACATGCAGGCAATACATGCATACACATAAAATATAAATAAACAAATAATTAAATAAAATTTCCTTTTTTAACCTCTGCTTTTATATAATACCACTACCTTCTGCCCCATTTGTGTGATTTTGCATCTCCTGGTCACCTGACTGGTGACATTCACCCTTAACATGTAGTGCCAGTTCTCCATCACAGCCAGGCTTCAAGGATACCTCTCCTGCAGGTGGCTCTTGCTTGTGGCCCTTGTTTCCACAGGCTGAGTTCCCAGAAGTGAGGTTTTAGGGTCCACAGGAATAAACGTTTGAGTGGTTCTTCCATTCTGGGCCCCAA